TCCAGAGGCTGCCACAGCACAGGTGTTGCCTATTAATGCTGCCTTAATTTCTGGAAACTCACAAAAAAGGAAAGAACTCAGAAGTTTTGTTTCTTTTTGCCTGCAAAGCAGGCATCCCATATCGGAGTCCTGGCTGCTCCACTTCTGACCCAGCTCCTCCTAATGCACCCGAGAAAGCAAAGGAAAGTGCTATCCACGTGGGAGGCCCTGGTGGAGTTCCAGGCTCCGGGATTCAGCCTGGCCCAGCCCCAACTGTGGTAGCCATTGGGGAGTAAACCAGAAAGAGACAGAAGATCTCCTTCTCTATATCTTCTTCTTTACCTGTAACTCTTGTTTCCAAATAATGCCTTTTTTAAAAATAATAAATAAATTGAATAAATGATCCAGATCATTTTTTAAAAATTTACCTCTCAGGGCCGGAGCTGTGGCGCGGTGGATTAAAGCCCTGACCTGAAGCGCTGGCAACGCATATGGGCACCGGTTCTAGTCCCAGCTGCTCCCCTTCCGACCCAGCTCTCTGCTATGGCCTGGGAAAGGCAGTGGAGGATGGCCCAAGTGGTTGGGCCTCTGCACCTGCGTAGGAGACTCAGAAGAAGCTCCTGGCTCCTGGCTTCAGATCAGCGCAGCTCCGATTGTTGTGGCCATCTGGGGAGTGAACCAGCAGATGGAAGACCTCTCTCTCTCTCTCCCTCTCTCTCTCTCTGCTTCACCTTCTCTGTATAATTCTGACTTTCAAATAAATAAATAAATCATTAAAAAAGACATCTCTGTCTTTACCTCTCTCTGTGACTCTTTCAAATGAATAAAATAAATCTTTTTTAAAAACTTACCTCTTATCTTTTTCTCAAATAATAGCCAAGAATTTAAAGGCTTCTAGACTAGGGCTTCCAGTAGGTGAGACTGTCAGTCAGCCTGGGAGTGTGGCAGAGACCCAGCACACATCTTGATGCAGCTTCAGGTTGACAGACAGCAGCTCAGTACCCAGCTTGCTTCCCGAGCCAAGCAGTACCTTTTAGCCTTGGAAGGAAGATTTGTGTCCTCCCCAAAGTTGCATGTTGAGGGCCTAATCCTAAGTGTGATGGTATATGGAGGCAGGACCTTCTGGCTGATTAGGGCTAGATGAGGTCACAGGGTAGGCCCCCTGAGTGCCCTTCCATGGAGATAAAGGGACAAGAGCTCTCCCCCACAGGTGCGGGCACAGCACCAGGAGGGCTGCAACCCTGGCCACAGGCTGACCTCACACTCCCAGCACCCACCAGAAGCTTCTCCCAGGTCTCCCATGTGGGTGCAGGGGCCCAAGCACTTGGGGCATCTTCTGCTGCTTTCCCAGGCCATAGCACAGAGCTGGATTGGAAAGGAGCAACCAGGACTCGAACTGGCACTCATATGGGATGTGGGCACTGCAGGCAGTGGCTTTACCCACTATGCCACAGCACTGGCCCTTTAAGTATCTTTTTTAGCCCTTGGGATTTCATGCTCTGCACTTATTTTCCAGTCTCATCTTCTAGGTCACCAACAGTTCCTTCAGCTCTGTCAGAAATTCTCTGAAACCCATGCCCAGAGTACTTGATTTTGCTCATAATAATTTTTTACTTCTGGAATGCTTTTCTGTAGCTGTAATTGGCTAAGGACAGCTGCACATTCTTTGTTACTCTTATTATTAACAGACAGAATTCAGTCTTCTCTCTCTGAATCTGGACTGATTTTAGTGACTAACTGACCCACAGAATGCACCAGAAATGATTTTCTGGGATTTCCAAGGCCAAATTCAAAGACGTTTTGTGGCTTCCAGTGGGCTTTCCGGAATGCCTGTCCTGCTACACCAGCACCCTGGATCCCCCTTGTGAGCACAGCCATCATTGCTGCAAAGCCAAGACATGTGGAGGCACTTGTCAGAAATCCTGGCTGAGCTCCCAGCAGATAGCCAGCTCCAACTGATGCCATGCAAGTTCATTATTTTTAATATCCACCCACTTAAGTATTCAGATAACTATAGGCCCAGCAGGTGATTCCAAAGTTTGTAGTCCTGATGTAGGCAGGGAGGGAGCTAGCAGAGAAGAGCTGAGATTTCACAGCCCTGGCCTGTTGCAGTTACTGCTAGCCCAGGTGTCAGGCCAGTCTGCACCATCTACATCCCGTTTCTGTGCACTGCCCACACTCCTTTCGGTGCATGACCAACCCCTCCTTGCTTCCGCACAGCAGAAACCACAATTTCCATACTGTTGCAATTTAGAACCAGAGCTAGCTGGAAATACCCAGTGTGGCTGTAGGCTGGGATCGCGCAGTGACCCTAAGGTCATTATAATAAAATTAGCATGGTCTACACTCCCACACCCATGATGCACCTGACACCATGATACTTCAGAGATCTCCAAAGAAGGGCACAGAAATGGGTGGTACGCAAGCCCCACCCCAAACTCCACCCATTTTGTACAGTCAATAACGCCCTGCCCCAGACACCACCTCCTAGACCTCCCAATGGTAGAAAAGGACACCTTCGAATCCTGTTAAGGGGAGCTCGTCCTCTATCAAGCTTCCTGCGCTCACTTCTGAGTGTGAACCTTTGCTTTAACTAAGTCTAGCTTTCCTTCTTCTGTGATTCTTTCTTGCATGGAGACAAGAACTTGGAGCAAGCTTAGCAAGGGGCGCAGACGTAAGGAGACCAGGATCAGCACCAGGTGGTGCTCAGCGCTTCTCTTTCTCCTCTGTTTCATGACACCTTTTTTCCTATCACATTTCTTTCTCATTTACCTCCAGAGTTTTGGAAACTCCATTTTTCTATCCCTTTAGCTGACACTCTTATTCTTTCTTTTCTGGACAAGAGGAGCTGGAGAACAGGGATGAATTCATGGGAGGAGATAATTTACAAAGGATATACAAACAAAAGAAAAGAATGCCTTTTTAAAAGAACAGGTCTTCAAAGAGGGAGGTGCCTTTCTCTGAAGGGAGGAGAGAACCTCCACTTTGACTATGACCTTGTCTAAACAAGATAAGAGTCGGAGAACTCAAGGGGCTTCCATAGCCTTGGAAACTCATGACTGGTGCATAGGGAGATTACTGATGCCATAAATAGGAGTGTCAATTTGTAAAGTCAACAACAGGAGTCACTGTGCACTTACTCCTCATGTAGGATTTCTGTCCTTAATGTGCTGTACACTGAGGCTTAATGCTATAACGAGTACTCAAACAGTATATTTCACTTTGTGTTTCTATGGGGGTGCAAACGATTGAAATCTTTACTTAATGTAACTAAACTGATCTTCTGTAAAAAAAAAAAAGAAAGAAATTATCAATTCCCAACTTGACTCTCACTGGGATTAAACATGACAATAGGTCTGATCTGATTTCATCATCATTTAAAAAAAATCATCTATTATTTTTCACTTGATGTTTCTGTGTGGGAGCAAACTGTTGAAATCCTTACTTAAGGTATACTAAGCTGATCTTCTGTATATTAAGATAATCGAAAATGAATCTTGATGTGAATGGAAGGGGAGAGGGAGTGGGAAAGGGGAGGGTTGTGGGTGGGAGGGACGGTATGGGGGGGGAAGCCATTGTAACCCATGAGTTGTACTTTGGAAATTTATATTCATTAAATAAAAGATAAAAAAAAAAAAACTGGTAGAAACCTCCAGGTCTCATAAAGTATTATATAATATTGTATAAGTGATACCAAAAATATAATAAATCAACAAAATAAAAAAAAAAAAGAATGCCTTTTTAAAAAGTATTTATTTATTTGAAAGGCAGAGTTACAAAGAGAGATGAGAGATGGAGAGAGATTTCTTCCAATGGTTCACTCCTGAAATGGCTGCAATGGCGTGGATAGGCCAGGCTGAAGCCAGGAGCCTGGAACCCTGATGGGTCAGGGTCTCCCCTGGGGGTAGCCGGGACACAAGTTTTTAAGCCACCTTCTGTTGCTTTCCCAGGTGTATTGGAAGGGAGCTGGATCAGAAGTGGAGCAGCTGGGACTCCAACCAGCCCTCATATGGAATGCCTGCATCGCAGGCAGCAGCTTAGCCCACTGCCCCACAACATCGTATTTTTTTTTTTAAGTACTTATTTTTTGAGAGGCAGAGAGAGTGTGTTTCCATTTCTGGTTTGCTTCCCAAATACCTGCAATGGCCAGAGGTGGGCCAGGGCCGAAAGGCAAGAGCCAGCAACTTTGTCCAGGTCTCTCACAGCGGGTGGCAGGGATCCAATTACTGGATCCATCACTTCCATCACTGCTGCCTCGCAAGTTCTACATTGCCAGAAAGCTGAAGTCAGGAGCTCGCATGGGAATCAAACCAGGTACTTGAACATGGAACACAGGCACTCAACTACCAAGCCAAACATTGGCTTCCTGCCTTTAACACTTAGGAGAAAAATTATCGATTTATCCCCTAGAGTTAATAATGAATGATTCATAACTTACTACAAATCTGGAACAAGAGTTATGCCAATTCTGCAGCTGCGGTGTGCTGGAGACTACCTGCCTTACCAAACATAAATCTATGGAGATCCTGATGCTGGGGAGGAAGATCAATGCCTCTTTTCACCAGACAGCATAATATTTGCTTTTCAGGGAAACGTTGTTTGACCCACAGTTTAAAGAAACTAATAAATTAACAAGATATTGTTTTAGGACAAGATAGACTTTTCAGAGGTAGTGGTCTGGCACACATACAAATCCATATACTAATAAGCCATGTTATCATTGACTTTTTTTCAAGATTTATTTATTTATTTGAGAGGTAGAGTTAGAGAGAGAGGCAGATGCAGAGAGAGAAAGTCTTCCATCTGCTGGTTCACTCCTCAGATGGCCTCAATGCCGGAGCTGAGCCAACAGGAAGTCAGGAGCCAGGAGCTTCTTCTGGGCCTTCCACACGGCTGCAGAGGCCCAGGTACTTGGCCCTTCTTCCACTGCTTTCCCAGGCGATAGCAGAGAGCTGGATTGGAAGAGGAGCAGCCGGGACTAGAACCAGTGCCACAGGCGCAGGCTTGGCCCACTATGCCACAGTGCCGGCCCCTATCATCAACTTTCAGAACACTAACGATCTACAACAAAAGACTTCCTAGGGATTCTCTGGATTTGGGACCAAGAGTTAAAAAAGGAAAGTATGATGATCTTAAGCACTACTTTATGCATTATGTACAATATCTAAATGTACTGTGTTTTTATCATTAATGGGCAGTAATTATATATTGTTGTTCACTAAATACTAATTGTGCGCTGAGTGTTTTCATAAAGTTTATTTCTGTTGATTACAGAATATAATATGAGTTCTTCCAATTTTAGATGCAGAATTTCTAAAACAACATGCCTGTTGTTTACTTTCATGTAATTATATAGGAGGCCATGGTTTCCCTATTTTACTATTGCTACTGGTAACACAGCTCCTACTCTGAGTGCCAGCTGTCTGACAAATATCATTCTAAGCCCTTCGAATGTATTTGCTGAGGTCAGTGTTTTGGCACAGCAGGCAAGGCAATGCCTGGGAAAGCTGCAGCAGATGTTCCAAGTGCTTGGGCCCCTGCACCCACACGCGAGACCAGGATGAGGCTCCGGGCTTCCATCTGGCTCGGCCCCAGCAGTTGCAGCCATTTGGAAAGTGAACTTCAGGACAGAAGATACCTCTATCTCTGTAACTCTGCCTTTCAAATAAATAATCGAAAATAAATGTATCTTTTAATCTAATTTTCACAAAGCCAAAGGAGTTATGCCCATTTCACAGAGGAGGAAACCAGCTCACAGAGCAGTTGAGAAATCCACATGTTTTATACTGCAATATCCAATGATGCTTCTGTTTATGATGAATCAATCTAAATAAAACATCTAAATAGCATTTAAACAGTATGAGTGAGATTGGGCTTTACCTTTTCAGTCTTTTCCTAATACTTTTTTTTTAAATAAGCATTAAGGGCTCAAAATTAACTCCCTTAGAATCCAGATTCTTGTGCCCAGTGGTTAAGATAACTTTCAGTATTAAAGATTAAATGGGTTTACTGGGAAAGCTTTACGAAACAAAAATTCCAGTATAAATGGAAAAACACCTAAAAACCCTACCTTGATGCAATCTTCCTGGACTTGTTTTTCAAAACCCGTGTTTTCATCTTCGTAGAACACGTCAGGAATTCTAAAGCGAGGCTTTCATATGGCACACCTGCGGTGTTAGGCCATGATCTCGGTACAAGATCTTCCAACATTCCACACTTGTCTTCTACTGTCAAGAAACATGATAAGTGGTTTTTTTAATCCTTGCTCTGAAAGATACTTATCTGTATTTTTATGTTCCGTGTTGTCTAAATGATAGCTTAGCCTGGAAAATGTCAAGCCTCAGCCTCAATCGCCTTTGAAACAGAGTAGTTCTGCACCGACTTCTGATGCACCCAAACACGGAGTTGTGGACGGCGTGTGCACCTCTCCTCCACTTCACTTGTAAGGAAAGGCCCCAACTGCAGAAACACACCGCATTATCAACTGTGCTCATCTTAAGACATCCTCTGGGAAAAACCCTGCCTGAATGGGGAGATGAAGATTCATGCTGCCGTTTTATCTCATGACACCACAGCAAATCTGTGCTGGCAAACATCCCAGCCAGATCCTCAATGTGGCTCAAATCTCAATGGAACACAACTGTCAAACCCGGGACTCATTTTAAACCCCTTAAATCTGCACCCACATACTGCATATGACCACCTGTGGCCTCTAATTACAGAGAAAATGGACTAGGAAACCCCTTTTTGTGTTTTTAAGTCCCTAATAATCTATCACTTTTGCTACAGTGCTGGGAGCTACAATTATTACATCAGGCACTAAATAGTTTTTCTTTTTGCATTCAGTTGTGGGTATTTCTGTCTCTAGCATACAAGACTATCTTGAATAATAGCAAAATGAAGAAAAATACCTACAGTTTGAGCACCGACTAAGCACCATGTTCATAGCAGAAGAAAAATATAAAAAAAAAAATTAAAAACTTGTTGTGAGTCCTTTTCAAAATCCTGGAAAAGAGGTGTCACCTGTAGGTGAGGGTGGCATTCCCGGTGCTGCTCATTTGTCTCGGGATTTGTCCGTCCGTAGGGAGCCATCTCTACAGTTTGTTGGGGTGTGGGTTCTGGAACATCGTCTTAGCCAGGGCTAGTGGCATGGTGCCTGCCCTTTATCAAATGCTCTAACAAGGCTGGGAGGTCACACCTCAAAACGGAATCAACCCTTTCTCTTCTTGTCCACTCTGTACTCACGAGGTTGTAGGAGGAAGGCCTAGAACTTGGAGGAAGCCCAGTATCTTCCTCTCTCTCTGGTCTCCCTTTGTCTCTCTACTGGACTGCAGCTCCTCCTCTCTCTCTGGTCTCCCTTTGTCTCTGCGCTGGACCAGGCTGAGCTCAGTGTCTGCCCTTGGGCAAACAGCTCCCTGCTCATGGCACACTCTCCTCTTTCACTGCTTACCCCCTGCTCTCTAGTGCTGGCAGGCATCATTTTCACGCCCCTGGAAGGGTACATGTCCACACCTTAGCTGGGGGTGAGAACTCGGGGACAGGAAGGACTGAGCACAAGTGTGTGTGCCTTGCTTTGGGCGTTGGTGCTTGAGGTCAGTTGAGCCTGAGGTCAGTGTAATTCTACCCTTCTTCTGGTCTAGTTCTCCAGAGTGGTTTTTTGGTGTTTTGTTTTTGTTTTAAAGATTTATTTATTTATTTATTTATTTGAAAGAGTTACACAGAGAGAGAAGGAGAGGCAGAGAAAGAGAGAAGTCTTCAATCCTCTGGGTCACTCCCTAGATGGCTGCAACAGAGCTGCGCCGATCCAAAGCCAGGAGCCAGGAGCTTCTTCCGGGTCTCCCACGTGGGTGCAGGGGCCCAAGACTTGGGTCATCTTCCACTGCTTTCCTAGGCCATAGCAGAGAGCTGAACTGTAAGTGGAGCAGCCAGGTCTCAAACCAGCACCCATATGGGATTCCAGCACTGCAGGCGGTGGCTTTACCCACTATGCCACAGCACCAGCCCCCATGGTTTGTTTTCTTAAAACTTATTTGTTTGAAAGGCAGAGTGACAGAGAGAGAGAGAGAGAGTGCATGAGAGAATCAATCATCCATCTGCTAGTTCACTCCCCAAATGGCTGCAACAGCCAGGGCCAGGCCAGGCCAAAGCCAGAAACAAAGAACTCCATCCGGGCCTCGCCCATGGGTGGCAGGGGCTCAAGCACTTGGGCCATCTTTCATTTCCTTCCCAGGTGCTCTACCAGGGAGCTGGACTGGAAGCAGAGCAGGCAGGTCTTGAACTGCTGCCCATATGAGATGCCAGTGTTGCAGGAGGCAGCTCAACCTGCTGTGCCATGACGCCAGCCCCCAGAGTTCTACATCAGAGTTTGAAGCCAAAGATGTCTCCAACAACTAAATAATCTGTCTTGTTTGGCCCCTGTTATGCATATAGTGTGTTAGAGAGAGGTGGAACCGGACTGAGACTGAACTCCCAGGGTCCTCCGTAAACACCAGCCAGCATCTTGATTCTAGTCTGTTACTGGTTTTTTTGTTTTGTTTTGTTTTGTTTTGTTTTGTTTTGTTTTGTTTTGACAGGCAGAGTAGATAGTGAGAAAGAGACAGAGAAAGGTCTTCCTTTTCCGTTGGTTCACCCCCCAATGGCCGCTGTGGCCGGCGTGCTGTGGCCAGTGTACCGCGCTGATCCGAAGCCAGGAGCCAGGTGCTTCTCCTGGTCTCCCATGCAGATGCAGGGCCCAAGGTCTTGGGCCATCCTCCACTGCACTCCCAAGTTTTAACAACTTGCAACAAAGTCTACACTTTGTGTGAGGCTCTGTCTCAACTGATCCAATCCTCAAAGCATGATGGACATTGTCTCTGAAATGAATAATCCATTAAGTGTTGAGAAAAAAGTAATACCACGTGCTGAAGGCTGGTGATAACGAAGGAGGTGAAATACAGGCAATGCTAACTTGCAGGCCTCTTGGTGCTGATCTGAACAATTCTAGCTCTTTCTCTTTCAGACAAAAATTTCAAAATTACAGAAGTCACCTAGATTCACATGTCATTAATTACTTGAGGGGAAAACACTGAGGTGTTTTTCTTTCTTGGATTTCTATATCTTAATTAATGGGGCTATCATTCCACATTCACTTTTGTGGAATAATAACTCCAAGCTATTCCAAAAGGGTGCCCCAGCTTCGATCAGTGTAATACATTAAGCCTTTTCTCTCACAATATTCAGCATTCCTGCTAGACACGGGGGATGGGAACCAGGGGAAGAAATGTCACTTCCTCCCCATTCCCGCCGCAGGATCCTTACTTGAAGGTCATGATCCGAGGCAGGCAGCCAGCTTCAGCTACAAAGCCTACAGAAGCAGTCACTATAAGGGGGGAGGTCACGAGGGCCGATCAAAGCAGCTGGCGCCTTGCCCTGTGGCCCTCCTCCGTATCTGTGTTGCAAGATGAAGCATGGTCTGGAGACCGTTAGGGAAGAGCTGGGATAAAAGCAGGTCACCCACACACAGAGGAGGTCGCCATTGGGCACCGAGACCCCGCAGAACAAAGTGAATGCGGTGTCAGACACTGGCCGAGGGCAGAAACCAGGCTGTCCCACGCGTCGATAAAAACCAGCAGAGAATAGCGAAGGCTGCATCCACGGAGATGACTACAACTCAGATGAGCTTCAGCTGAAAGAACCCAATCAGGGACGAGCAGAAGGTCTCTGTGGGACCCGGCAGCCGTGTGCTGGGGCACAAGGGTCTGGCGCTGGCTTCTGACAGAGGCTAGTATCACACTCCCGTGGCTCAGGTGCCTTGGGTCTGCTCCCTAACCATAGGCATGCTCTGTCTCTTACATGTGTTCATGCTGCAAAAGACTGAGCCAGAAAGCTTGAGAACGGCTGTAAATCTGCTAGTGAGAAGCAACTCAGGGCACATGATCCACCGGCATTCAGAGTAAGACCCTGTTCGTATCATGTTAGGAAGAGCAGGGATTGGCTCACTGGCAACAGTTCTGTCACCTGGCTCTATGTAAATATAGAACCACACGCATCCCCAGGGTGGATATTTTGCACAGCGGTTAAGGGGCTGCTCAGCACACAGCTCACTGGAGTGTGTGTCTGGACTCCCAATTCCAGCTTCCTGCGAATGTGGACCATGGAGGCAGCAGACGATGATGCAGGTATTTGGGAACCTGCCAGCACCCACGAGACAGACCTGGAATTCCCAGCTCCTGGCGCTGGCATGGCCCACTTCAGGATGCTGTGGGCATTTGGGGAGAGAGCTAGCAGATGGAAGATCTCTCTGTGTCCTTCAAAATTAATCAGCTTTTTAAGAAAAACGTTTATGACCACTCGGATCACTGGCTCACTCTTGGATTACTCAAGGCTCTGGCATCAGATCAGCAGGACGAGCTCGGCTCTGGAGGCGACGGGTTCTGTTGGATTCTTCCACACGAGGCTCTCAGCTAATCCCAGTCAGGAACTTCTAATGGATATTCTTCATGGCTTATTTGCTTTCTTCTCGTGTCTGAATCTTCACACTTACCTGGGCTGATGGACAGTGCCTAGAATTGTTACTGAAGGGCATTCCAAATACAGCTTGCCCTGTTTTGCCGGCAGTAATAAGCTCAATGTAGACAGGGTTGTCCAGGGGATTTGGTTTTTGTTTTTGCTAGGCAGTCAAAGAGCTTGTGACAGACTCCTTTTTAAACGCATCGGTGAGGTGTCTAAGTCATACTCGCCCCTCGGTTAACTCATGTAGGGGGTAGAGGAGGCAATTCAGGTGCAGTGGAAGGGCTGGTATCTCTGCCCTAAAAATTACAATACAGCAAACACAAAGTAAATCTACTTTTTAGACTCCCCTTCTGTGGTTACATTCATTGTCCCTGTCCCACCCCTACCGTTCCATCATTGTCGCTCCCCCATTAGCAGAGGAACGACACAGGACCCTGCACTGTTCTTTCGTCTGCTCGGCCCTCCCCGGGTTTGCTGCTGGTCTTCCCGGGTTGGCTACCGACCCTTCCACCTCCGTGGAAGGGCGGCTCCCCCTGCCACTTTCCCCACTTCCACAGGGGAGCGGCACACCACCGGCCGGCTCTCTCGGGGGCTGCTCAGATGTTATCCTGATGTTCTCCTTAGATGTTCCTGGTGCATGTTGTCTCTCTCCTCCTTTATAGTCCTCTTCCACCAATCCCAACTCTGCTACCCACAGGCCAAGCATGCTGCTCTCCTCCAATCAGGAGCAGGATCA